AATTGGTAAAATGACAAGCAATGACTAGAGCGTAATAGACTCTCCCTGTTTGCAAACTGAATCATACAGTATTTTGTATCTGGCCTGTAGAATATTATTGCTTTTCTTACAAACCAATATTACGGACATTACAGACATGACATGGCCACATAGTGTAACAGTTTGTTTGGAAACTGTAAGCACAAAAAGCAGCCTTCTGTACTTTTTAACCTCTTATAGATGAATTAAGCCATTAGACAACTTGCTAGTGCTGTGCTTTTCTCTTTTCAGCCCCCAGTGGAATATTTATCAATGGAAACTATGCAGAAATGGATATTGTGTAAGTTTTCAAAATGCTGCTCATAAAATACACTGTAGTTAATAAAATATTAATTTTATTGTAGGTAAGGTATGATATTATCTATTGAAAATAACTTGTTGCTTATTAATAATATTGTTTGTTATAAATAATAAAAAAGTCTTTATGCAATACTAATAAAAAAGACCTGTGTACAGTGCTTCACTTAAAAAAAAATTAAAACGAAATTTGTACCTTAGTTAACATCTTTTAGAAAGAAAAGAAAAGATCATAATGTCTCAATATCTCTTGAAATATAATCCACGACGATGTTTCTCTACTAAATATTATTACTATGACTATTAGCAATCACTTCCAATATTTAACATCTTTTCACTAATTCCTTTTTAAAATCTGGCACGATTTCAAGATGAACCAACAACGATAAGAATATTAAATAGTAGTAATAATTGAATATGCGATATTCAATATTATTGTTTATTATACGTATCAATATTATTGTGTATCAATATTATTGCTTTTTATACATGTTTGAGTTGTTTTAGTTTGAATTTATCCCTTTCCTTTACCTTAAAATGTATATTACCTGTATGTAGATTGAATACTCCTTAATATAAAATTCCCTACTGGAAAGTGCTATTTTTATCTGTAATAAATCTAAGAAGAAATGTTTGATGTTTTGAACATCATGATCAAGAATAAAAAACATCAAGTGTCGAAGTGGTTAAGAGAGTTCTCAATTTGAATACCGTAAAATTCCGAAAATAAGCCCCGGGGCTTAGTCTGATTACACATTTAGCGATTGTTTTAAAATATACAGCATTTCATTAACAAAGCACTCAAGTTTATTATGGCACTTTTTGAGGATCAAAAAGGTATGCCATAAGAGTGATCAGCCTCGTGTTGTTTTATTTCATGTGATTTGAAATAATAAAAAGAAAACCTGTAAATTGCCTTTTGCCAATTTTTTCACCCCATTTGGCATTAAATGGCCAGATTATAATAATTATTTATAGCACTAATATTAGTGGGGCCGAGCAAGTACCTGAAACAAATAATTCAAAATATTGAACCTAACAGGGTTAAGAATCCCAACAGTGAAACCTGGTACTTTGCTTAATCAAAATCCTCCAAAATCGCCTTTTGCCAATTTTTTCACCCGATATGGTATTAAATGGCCAGATTTGGTTCTTTTATACTGAAAAGTGGATTTTCTTAAAAAGATGTGGTTGTTTTATGGTGAACTCTGGGTGAAAAGTGGACTTCTCAAAAACCTGGTACTTTGCTTAATCAAATTCTCTCTATTAAGTTAGCATGTTGGGGCAGATGGTTTGTCTAATAGTCGTCATAAGTCAACGTTATTGACCAAAGTTTATTGTTTTTTCTCCTTAGTTGGATATACACTTTGTCATCAGCAGCTTGCCATGCCTGGCGTGACAGATATATGGAAGGTTGCGTTACAGGATGGCTATTGTGTTCAGTTATTCCGAGATGAAGTCATTATGTTTCATAAAGAATTCCAAAACTTACTTGATGGAATGAAAGGGTGNGCAGCTTGCCATGCCTGGCGTGACAGATATATGGAAGGTTGCGTTACAGGATGGCTATTGTGTTCAGTTATTCCGAGATGAAGTCATTATGTTTCATAAAGAATTCCAAAACTTACTTGATGGAATGAAAGGGTGAGTCAGTGAAAGGAGAAAAGTGCATTCATGGTTCTGCATTCTCTCAAGAGAGTCCCAAGAGTCAGACCAAAATCAATTTTCTCCTAACATTGTTATTGTCAATACTTACTATCTGGCTGAATCCGTGAGCAGGCAAAATGAAGTGAATCCTGTGTTCTGATTGGCTAGCTGAGCGTCAATATCTTGCCCGCTTTGGATTTCCCACATTGGCCCCGCAAAAAATGTTATCTTTTTGTCCATTTAATAAATCCTTTATTGACCTAGCTTGTACGATCATGATGGCTGTATATTGGCCTCGTTCTTTTTTGCATTTTTATTGACCAAGACGAAAACGCAAAAAAGAACTAGGGCAATATCCAGCCATCTTGACCTCCTGCTGGGTCAATAACACTTATATAATCCAGAGAAAAGGTTAGGAGAATTAATAAAACGATCAACTCAGGGAAACAGGGATATTTTCTGACTACTAGGTTGATGACAGTCGGCTACTTTTGTAGGAAGTAAAATTGAGGTAAAACCCAAAAAGCTTCCCACCTGCTAAATTCCCCACTTACTGTACTAACTGGATACACGCGGCAACTTGTATCTTAGTGACAGTCCTGCAATAGGAATGTTTATAGTTTTTTTTGCCACAAATCACCACATGAAGCAAAATAGGTATGCTGGTGAGCAAACAGTGGTGTATACATTTTTTAATACGTTTTGTTGCGAAAGGCCCATTAAACAAAGAGCTGCAAAGATCATAACCTCGTTTAAACTCTTTATTGTCGTTATTGGTTTTAGATACAATAAGCGTGTTAAGGACATTCAAGATGCTGCTGCACATGCGCTAGCAACAAGGTATGCCACTAAGGTCAACTCACTTTTTGCCAAATCACAAATTTACACGACTACTGAGATAGGTAGGATTCAGCCATGCATTACGGAATAGAAAACATGACACGTGCTAGACTTGTAGTCTTTTGGACAAGTCATCTTCTTTACCTTGCAAAACATAATTGCTCAAGCTGTGAGAAGTTTTACCACCAAACTAAAGAAGTGATGAAACTTTACCATTGAAGTGTAAAGGTATTTAGCCTGGGGTCAATTTAATGAAAGTTTTACTAGTGTACAGTCATACCCCGCTTTACGGACACCTCATGATTACGGACAGTTTGCTTTGTCCCTGGGGAAAGAAAACCCTTACATTTTCTCGAAATTCAACCCGTGTATTATGTGGATTTCTTTGGCGTCACTGCACGACTACGACGTGAAAATACCTAATTTCACCTTTTGTGGAGGACGTGAATAAAATGGAACGACTTTCTTTTTCTTTTCCTAAACTTCGATACACTCTTTTAGAATTCAACTCCAGAAATAATTGCCAACATTTGACGAACTGAACGAGATGGAATAAGCGCCACTTCACTTTTTAAGTGATGTTTTCGTAGCTGTCGCCCGTCGTTGTTGCTTGAGCTTCCTAATGTAGAGAGGACACGTCTGTTGTGGTCCCATTCACGACATTTCATTTCACTCATTTTTTCATTCACAGAGGCCCAATTCATAGAGAGAGACGTAACTACCTTCGGACAGCGTTAAAGGAAATGTCTTTGATTCTTTCAGATCAACCAGGTCTACTAGGACCGAAGGTAGGTTTGCCTTTACTTAGTAACAAAACTCTAGCCTTCATTTGACGAGCCAGCATATGGTGCGTTCACAGAAACCTGAAGATAATTGATATATTTTCTAAAAACAATTTATTGCCATATATTAAGTGCGCTGACTTCTCCTCACAAGCGTCTTCCTTTACGTCAGTATGAATCGACAGTTGTTTGTTTTTTCTTTGTAATTTGTCTAAACCCTCCTGTTGTTTTGTAATGACGGGGTTTTGCACAAGCTAAAATAAAGATCTTCTAGTAGTAATAATTTTCTTCGCGTATCACGGCTGTCCACTTCATTTTGTCAATATTGCCAATTACATGTCCTTATTCACTATGGAACTCAGCTTAATGCTACAACTGATCAGTTACATTAAAGTACTTGAGACTGTGTCGTATTTTGGCTTAAATGGCTTTTCCGTGATCTTGTGCTTGTGATCCCCCCTCCACCCCTTATCAAAGTTGCTAGCCATACAAGACCATGCTCAAAACTTGGAGGAACAACTTTGAATGGAGAGGAGGAGGGAGGTCAGTATTATATCTCACAGACCTGTGACTAGCAGCGATTTGAAGGAAGAAAGGTCGTTGTTTCGTCGGAGTGTCATCAATTACAAAATCTCAGCTTCTTATCCAACAAATGTACCTTCTAAACATTATGTCAAACCACAGTTAGTATAAGCAACAAAAATAAACTTTGGAAAACTGTTAGACAAGTTTTCAAAATCCACAATTGCAACCTGTTTTAATCTCCCTCAAGTTTGTCCATCCGTGACTTCTTTGTATTTGCCTTATTATTTATACCTTTTTTAGTGGTCTGAGCGGTTATTTTTATGTTTCACTCAATTTTTTTGGTATTTCTAACTGTCTGAATTTGGATACATTTCTTGACACTGCTCCTTTGACGATTTCACCAAGCAAAACACTCAGGGCCGGTTATTTAAACCAAGTTTAACCACTGTTTAACAAAACCGCGTTATAAGTCATTTTCAGTTTGCACAGCGGTTTTATCTAAACACCATTGGTGGTGAACAGTTTCAGTAAAGCATATGGTGTAGACTAGAAAAGCGTTTATCTACTTAAATTGACCCACTGAGGAAGAGAACTAGAGGTTCAAAAATTTGTTAAACCGCGTTCTAAGTTAGACTTTGTTTAAATAACCGACCTTTAGGGTCGGGAAATTATTGGACCTTCAGATCTCTCTCTAAGTGGGTATTTTAAGAAGATAAATGTCATGAAACTGCTCACAATAATGGGCCTTTAGATCAAAGCGTTAAGCAAACTTAAAATGGCTTAGAGCACAGTTTTGTTAAACACTGCCTAAACTCCGTTTACTGAAATAACAGGCCCTTAACGTTCAGTAGCTAAACAAGGTTGATGCAATTTCTGTAATCAGATCCTCGTAGTACTACAAGCGTTAAACATGGCCCGAGACGAAATCATTTGGCTGGTGAGACATGCTTGCACTCCACCACCCAAGGGGAAAAAACTCAACCAGGAAGATTTTCTAGACAGGTAAGGAAACTGGGATTTGGTCTAATTTTGATTAATGTTTACAGCTACAAGTTCAGTCTCTGTATTGTTTGAGTTCAGAAACATTCTTTTAACTTGTTTCAATGTCAAATAACCTTGAAGGTTTCTTAAATAACTGAACAAGCCGTGTTCAAGTGTGAATTTCACCTTGCCATTCGAACGAAGGTCATTGGTATAACTGCACCCATTTGAGGGTAGGTCTGCACATAATCTGGCCAAGCCTGTACACTAAAGAGTATTATGACAATATTTTACGGAAAGACCTTTAGCTTGTGCGAAGGATTCCCTTTTGCTTGCGCTTCCTTGTTTCACCTTATACTTCGTGCACACTGGTTAGTTATATTTGATGTAATATATCAGACATGAGATGCAGTGTTTCATCACCAGATGAAACACCGAGAAGAGAGTTGAAAATACGACGCGCAGCGGAGTATTTTTGACGAACTTCGAGGTGTTTCATCTGGTGATGAAACACTGTGTCGAATGTTTGATATTTCTTCTCAAACAAAATCATTTTTGAAGGAGAAATTAAGGATGCAAAAATGAGCAGTTTTTCATCTGATATCCAAACACTCATTAAATATTAATTTCCTTTGAATTTTCTTTATGAATTATTAATGAGTTTGAGAAAGCATGATCCCATACATCTTTTTCAATAAGTGTAAGATAAGTTTAATTCTTCTCTTTTTTCCTTTGTTCTTTTTGTCAGCAAACTGCCTCAATTACTGTTATTTGTGGAAGAAATTCGAGGTAAGTTTCTTTCGTCCAACACTTCGAAAGATCAGGTTCAGTTTAGTGTTTTTTCTTTACCTTTTTTTTTTCTTTATCTTGAACTGCCTGACCGCTAAGCTTATGAACCGCTTGACCGCTAAGCTCGTGGTGGTTAACTTAGTTAAATTACATTTAACCAAATTTAAAGTGCTGCTTTTCTTTTAGATACCTGTTAATCTAGTGTAGTGTGACAAGAATGAAAGGAAAAAATAAAAACAAACAAACAACAACAACAACAACAAGAAAACCTTGAAAATAATCCTGAGGTCAAAATACCCCAAAGAGATAATTACTTCGTAGCGTCTCCGGCGAATTTGCTCCTCAGAATCTTTTATTCTCTCCGGATCTAGGTATGATTCAGAAGTATATATCAGTGTTGCAAAGGTATTTTGTCCAGTACTTATGTGGCTTCGACGTCGCTGTTCTGAAGGAAGTTGTCCAGGTTTGTAATTAAGTTGTATGGTGACTTTTCGGTCAGTCGTGTACCTTTCTGTTACAGTAAACACTAGCGTATAAGAACATAGTGGATTAAGAACCTACTGGCAGAAATGTGCCACTTTAATACCCAATAATACAAGAACCTGTTTAGCAAAGTAGATCAAGCAGGTTCTTATGTGTGGGATGCACTTAAATTATTGTAAACATTTTAACCAACGAGTTGACTTTGAGATTGCATATTTATATTACAAGGAAATACTGTAACAAACTCTCATTACTAATAAAAGTGTTACCGTAATTCCTGCAACAAAAACAATTTTATGTAAACCACAGCCTGTAACTGTCTTCATGGGCCTTGCGTAAATGAGGTTTGCAATTTACATGTGTGAATAAATATTGTTTATTTAAGGACCAAACTCAAATTTACACAAAATTGACGGCATACATCCTTAAATTGAGATTACCGGGACGTTTTAGAAGTGAGCTACAAGTTAGGAAACTGTCTTGTAACTAGTTTCAAATGGTTTACGCTTGTGATTTTTGTTTAAACATGATGAAGGAGTCATGCGTATCTCACAAACCATGAAGCCGCGAGATGTGAGAAACAAAGTTCTTAAGCACTCTTTATGTTTTGCCTTGTAGAAAATTTCAGTCTGTTCAGATGACATTTCCATAATCATGACATCATTTATCGAGGATCTGTCGCAGCTGAATGTTAAACAAGGTAACACACATCAGACAGTCTTATGTGGTGTGGAAATTTCCCGCCAGTTTTTGACTCAAGAACATGTCATGCGTGTGCACCCTGAATGACAGAGATTCGGAATTGGCATAATTAGAAAACGTTTCCAAGCGCGAAAGCTTATTCAAAGAACATTTTTTCAAAGTATTTTCGTAATAATTAACCCACATTTTTCTTTTTATTGAACGGTCTCTGCATACTCACAAATATTCTTTTTCTCTTCGGGTACAGGGTCCTCAAATTTGGAATGACATTCCTCTCTCACTTCGTAATTCACTTACTCTTTCTAGTTATAAACATAAACTGAGAGATTATTTTCAATCATTATAAGTTTAAACTAAGTTGAACTCAAATTTTATCTACTTTCAAACTCTTTTCTTTATTACTTTTTGCACACTATCATTAATTGTTATGTTTATTTTGCTTTATATGCAGTGATAATTCGTTATATGTTGTAATAGTTTGCCTTTTCTCTGTAAATCTTGTACTTATTAATTTTTATTCTCATTGTAACTTAGCAGCACATTGTAACTCTCTGACCTACGCCATATAAGCTTCTGGCTTTGGCATCTTATTATCGTTAACTTGTGCTTTGTGTACTTATTTATCAATAAAGAATACCACGAGTCATAAGAGATAGCAGGAACTGCCATTCGTTTGGCATTCAATTATCGCGCCAAAATTTGCAATGTCTATTGGTTTGCTCGCGCGCTAGTCCCCTTCAAATTTCGCAACAAACTCGAATATTAGACATTGAGCGATTCGTAAGGGATATCCTCTAAAGTTATGCTCTGGACGCTTATTTGAATTTTCTTGTATTTAACAGTTGAAGCTGGAGATACATTTGATTTTGAAAGCCTCAGATTGGACTGGATGCGACTTCAGGTAAAACCCTGTATAGGCCCTTTGCAGCTTTCCATTCACGTGGTACAAAACCGCCATGTTGGGACGCAAAAGTCGCACTGGGGCAAGACCAACAAAAGGCGTACATAATTTTAAATGGTAATTTCCTTTGTTTGTCTTGTTCCAGTGCGACTTTTGCGTCCCAACATGGCAGTTTTGTACCACATGAATGGAAAGCTGCAAAGGGCCTATTATTATAGACTACTCAGTAATTCAAGGAAAGCGTTTTTGTTTTCTTACGTCTCAGGGGATTAGGAAAGGCTGGTGTTTTCTTGTTGTTTGGCAAGACAATGGGAATCTAGCTTTTTATAGGGGTCAAGTTTTTTCAATGGTTTGCTTACTTCCGTTAACCGCGCGTTTTAAACTCTAACTTAGTGAAAGAAACGCCTTTTTTTGTAAATCACAACCTTGTTACATTGCAAATTGGGATAATCTTATCTGCGTCGGGAATATATCCTCCAGGCGTCCGAGACATCATAAAGAAATGTTCCCATTTGTTTTGACGATGGCAGACATTTCCCTGTTTGTTTGACTTGATTTTGCGCGAAATGGGCTTAAAAATGATAAGTGACACTCTGATATGCTGCAAATATGATCATCCCAGACAAACATTTCCATTGCTCCTCAGCGCTGTATGGTCGGGAAAATAGAACCAGATTCAACTAGATCGTGTGTCTTAGACCACCTCAGACGCTGGGGATTTGTGGAATATGCGGAGCTAGGGTGCGGTATGCAGCCTTTTAAAAAGCGGCGGATCTCGTGTTTTCCCCAGACCCAGGGACCCCAACCGCAGCGCCCCGTATACCCGGCATGCCGGCTATTCCACGTCTGCAACGTGACGCAGACCGGTCACCGATTGTGTCCCAGGTCATCGGAGACCCTTCCAGGTCATGTGATGGCTAGTCTTAAAGTAATTTACAGTTGCGAGTAATTTTGAATTAATAATTGAAATTTCTTTGCAAGTTCATGTGATCAAATTTTAAATCGGTTTCTTTTACCTGTCTTCTTCGTATTATTTCAGGCTTACACAAGTGTCCGTGGGGCATCGCCAGAGCTAAAGGAGAACAAAGACCTGGCAGTACTCATGAACAATGTATCGTTCCACTCTAAACTGGTCGATGCACCTGAAAGACTTTTAAACGAGATTTCGGACTTATCTATCTTCTGGTAAGTCTCCAAAGTTACGTTCCAATCGTGCTTCGTTAACCGTTCTCTTCGAACAGAAGTTAATACTGTTGTTTATTAATTGTAGGATTATGAATTGCCGTGGGAATATTAAACACTTAACATGAATATCAACCTGATATAAACTGCAGCAAAAAAAAATACGGTTTTCGGCACTCCAGCCATTGTTGCTCCCCCCTTAACGAGTGTAAATTTGTTTTTGCAGTTTTTATCCCAGTTTTTTCGAGGAATCATTCTTGAAGTGTGTAGAAGACCCTAACTATTCAAGGTAACGTTAAACATGTTTTTAGTCTTGTATACGATATCCGTGAAAAAACAATTTACCTACAATTGATTACAGATAAGAAATAGAGTGATCTGGGTGGGGAGAAGAAGTCACAAAAAAAATTCTGAGTTCTAGAATTGAATTGAACCCACGACCTTCCAGACACTAGTCGGATGCTCTAACCACTGCGCTACTAATTAATTGATTACAGTACAACCAAAAACATTGGGCCCTTTGCAGCTAAAATTTCACATGGTACAGTCCAAAACACCTTGATAGAGGGCAAATAACCTTAAAAAGAAAGGAAACTAGCTATTTAATTCATTTAAACTCTTTGTAACAGCGTCTCATGCTCTCCAGCAACTTGTTTTTGTCGCATGTGACTGTTAAGCTGGAGAGGGTCCATTACACTGGTGGCCAATCACAACACCAGCTAAAAAACACGTGATGCGATCAGCACTCGAAGCAATGATGTAACCGGCGCCAGCGCGGGAAGATGCCTTGCGATCAAGAAAAAATTGGTTTTGACTTCTTCCCTGATTGATAGAGAAAGTGACACAAAATTTCCAGTAGATCATAAGCAATGGCAGTGCAAAAAGCAAAGCAACTGCAAAGTAGCTTCTGACACCGATCTAAAGCCCATTTTATTTTACTAATGATGTTTATTTTCACATTGTAAATAAGTTATTCTTTTTCTCTTCGGGTACAGGGTCCTCAAATTTGGAATGACATTCCTCTCTCACTTCGTAATTCACTTACTCTTTCTAGTTATAAACATAAACTGAGAGATTATTTTCAATCATTATAAGTTTAAACTAAGTTGAACTCAAATTTTATCTACTTTCAAACTCTTTTCTTTATTACTTTTTGCACACTATCATTAATTGTTATGTTTATTTTGCTTTATATGCAGTGATAATTCGTTATATGTTGTAATAGTTTGCCTTTTCTCTGTAAATCTTGTACTTATTAATTTTTATTCTCATTGTAACTTAGCAGCACATTGTAACTCTCTGACCTACGCCATATAAGCTTCTGGCTTTGGCATCTTATTATCGTTAACTTGTGCTTTGTGTACTTATTTATCAATAAAGAATACCACGAGTCATAAGAGATAGCAGGAACTGCCATTCGTTTGGCATTCAATTATCGCGCCAAAATTTGCAATGTCTATTGGTTTGCTCGCGCGCTAGTCCCCTTCAAATTTCGCAACAAACTCGAATATTAGACATTGAGCGATTCGTAAGGGATATCCTCTAAAGTTATGCTCTGGACGCTTATTTGAATTTTCTTGTATTTAACAGTTGAAGCTGGAGATACATTTGATTTTGAAAGCCTCAGATTGGACTGGATGCGACTTCAGGTAAAACCCTGTATAGGCCCTTTGCAGCTTTCCATTCACGTGGTACAAAACCGCCATGTTGGGACGCAAAAGTCGCACTGGGGCAAGACCAACAAAAGGCGTACATAATTTTAAATGGTAATTTCCTTTGTTTGTCTTGTTCCAGTGCGACTTTTGCGTCCCAACATGGCAGTTTTGTACCACATGAATGGAAAGCTGCAAAGGGCCTATTATTATAGACTACTCAGTAATTCAAGGAAAGCGTTTTTGTTTTCTTACGTCTCAGGGGATTAGGAAAGGCTGGTGTTTTCTTGTTGTTTGGCAAGACAATGGGAATCTAGCTTTTTATAGGGGTCAAGTTTTTTCAATGGTTTGCTTACTTCCGTTAACCGCGCGTTTTAAACTCTAACTTAGTGAAAGAAACGCCTTTTTTTGTAAATCACAACCTTGTTACATTGCAAATTGGGATAATCTTATCTGCGTCGGGAATATATCCTCCAGGCGTCCGAGACATCATAAAGAAATGTTCCCATTTGTTTTGACGATGGCAGACATTTCCCTGTTTGTTTGACTTGATTTTGCGCGAAATGGGCTTAAAAATGATAAGTGACACTCTGATATGCTGCAAATATGATCATCCCAGACAAACATTTCCATTGCTCCTCAGCGCTGTATGGTCGGGAAAATAGAACCAGATTCAACTAGATCGTGTGTCTTAGACCACCTCAGACGCTGGGGATTTGTGGAATATGCGGAGCTAGGGTGCGGTATGCAGCCTTTTAAAAAGCGGCGGATCTCGTGTTTTCCCCAGACCCAGGGACCCCAACCGCAGCGCCCCGTATACCCGGCATGCCGGCTATTCCACGTCTGCAACGTGACGCAGACCGGTCACCGATTGTGTCCCAGGTCATCGGAGACCCTTCCAGGTCATGTGATGGCTAGTCTTAAAGTAATTTACAGTTGCGAGTAATTTTGAATTAATAATTGAAATTTCTTTGCAAGTTCATGTGATCAAATTTTAAATCGGTTTCTTTTACCTGTCTTCTTCGTATTATTTCAGGCTTACACAAGTGTCCGTGGGGCATCGCCAGAGCTAAAGGAGAACAAAGACCTGGCAGTACTCATGAACAATGTATCGTTCCACTCTAAACTGGTCGATGCACCTGAAAGACTTTTAAACGAGATTTCGGACTTATCTATCTTCTGGTAAGTCTCCAAAGTTACGTTCCAATCGTGCTTCGTTAACCGTTCTCTTCGAACAGAAGTTAATACTGTTGTTTATTAATTGTAGGATTATGAATTGCCGTGGGAATATTAAACACTTAACATGAATATCAACCTGATATAAACTGCAGCAAAAAAAAATACGGTTTTCGGCACTCCAGCCATTGTTGCTCCCCCCTTAACGAGTGTAAATTTGTTTTTGCAGTTTTTATCCCAGTTTTTTCGAGGAATCATTCTTGAAGTGTGTAGAAGACCCTAACTATTCAAGGTAACGTTAAACATGTTTTTAGTCTTGTATACGATATCCGTGAAAAAACAATTTACCTACAATTGATTACAGATAAGAAATAGAGTGATCTGGGTGGGGAGAAGAAGTCACAAAAAAAATTCTGAGTTCTAGAATTGAATTGAACCCACGACCTTCCAGACACTAGTCGGATGCTCTAACCACTGCGCTACTAATTAATTGATTACAGTACAACCAAAAACATTGGGCCCTTTGCAGCTAAAATTTCACATGGTACAGTCCAAAACACCTTGATAGAGGGCAAATAACCTTAAAAAGAAAGGAAACTAGCTATTTAATTCATTTAAACTCTTTGTAACAGCGTCTCATGCTCTCCAGCAACTTGTTTTTGTCGCATGTGACTGTTAAGCTGGAGAGGGTCCATTACACTGGTGGCCAATCACAACACCAGCTAAAAAACACGTGATGCGATCAGCACTCGAAGCAATGATGTAACCGGCGCCAGCGCGGGAAGATGCCTTGCGATCAAGAAAAAATTGGTTTTGACTTCTTCCCTGATTGATAGAGAAAGTGACACAAAATTTCCAGTAGATCATAAGCAATGGCAGTGCAAAAAGCAAAGCAACTGCAAAGTAGCTTCTGACACCGATCTAAAGCCCATTTTATTTTACTAATGATGTTTATTTTCACATTGTAAATAAGGACCTACATATGGACCTACCCATACGTCTGATCTATTTTCAGATATTCCATTGCATTTCCGCTGATATGTGGTCACTTCATGACTTGTACCAGTGAATTTTGCCCTGAGGAGGTACTTTTTTTAAACTTTGGATATTTTAAATTCATCGATCTTTATCGTAATTAGACTGAACGGGAAGTCAAAAATTTGTGGAACAACAGTTTTAATTGTTGCGAATAAATGTCTTCCTGTGCTTCAACTCGCGAATGCGTAGGCTGGGTTCATTAGCCATCGGACAAAATTTCGACCTGTTGAAAATTCTTACATCAAGGTGTTCCACGGAACCACGTTAGAGCGATTTTCGTATGACCTTGGAAAATGGTTTCGGTAAGTGTTCGTTATTTGTTTTATCAGCCAATGGATGAAAAGATCAAAACATGGACTCTTTGTTTTCCAGCCAACGAAAACCCTTATATGGAGAAGGCATTGTTCGATTGGCCAATCGTGTTGCAGCATGACGTCAAAGCGAAGTTTCGATTGATTTCTATAAAGTTTTCTTCGAGCATGAAGTTTTTTTCAGCCGAGCGTTCGCTTACCAACCAAAAGCCAGACGCGTTTGTATCCGTTGGTTCGATAAACCAATCAAATCGCTTTAGTTTGTTTGTTGTTTCTGTTTTGTTCGCGCGTTTTCATCTCAAGGTCATACGAGAATCGCTCTAACCGTACAAAAATTTAGACGCCTAGCCTCTCAAAGCTCCGTGTGAACAGGACGAAAATAATGAATGGTCCCGTGTGAACTAAGTGTCCAATCAAATTTTTCAGCCGATCGAAATTCGTCCGGTGCCGTGTGAACCGCGTAGTCTAAGACATTAACATTTGGCTTAGAAAACCCGACGAAAATGGCCCAAGCACGAACGTGAACTTAAACATTTTTAACACCTTTTTCTCTGTTGGGAGACTGATCAGTTAGCTAGTACGTAGCTGAGGTTACCGGTAGCCAGAAACTTGTAGCCTGTTCCAGGCTCCGAGACAGTCGCCTCCTTTTCACAGATAACGCAGTCATATTTTAGCGTACCATTCAAATACGCGTAATTCTCACTATCTGAGAGCCTGGAACGGGCAAGAAAATGTAACCTCGGGGCGTCCTTGCTACTGTCAGATCGCTGGTCAAATCGATTAAGTAGGCAGAGTAGGAATTAGTGTCAGGACCTAGGGCTTGTAACTCCAGCGGTCCACCCGCTAGCCTCGTCGCCTCATAACGTATGAGCCTTACCGTATTTCCTTCAATGTGTTTTTGTGTTCATTATTATGATTGCTTAACTCTCAAGCGTCATCCCATCGGAGATCGCAGCCTGTCTGCTGTTAACCTGTTTCTGGACTCCATGGCAAAAGAAGCCCGAAATATCCTCAGTCAGCTGTGCCCTGATCATATCCAACTCAACCAGCAGGTTAGTGAATATCCCTTTCAGCCTCAAATCTGATCCACATACAAATTCTCCAGACTGATCTTATACATTTTCTTGAAGAATTAGTTGAGAGAATTGGAAAAAGAGATCAAGGCAATTTCCCTTTATTGAACATTTTAATAGTTCTCGTAACCTTATCTATTGATTGTACACTGATTTTGTTAGGAGAAACCGGATGTTGGTCACTCTTGGTAACTGAAGGGTTAAGACAATTTTTTTTTTCGTGTTTTGTACTGTCTTTGTACATTTGCCTTAAGGCTCTGTAACACTGTGTAACATAATCTTTCTTTGAACTTGTCTCGTATTTTTGTTGCGACATCTAGTCGACGATGACTTGCTTAAAACTATTGTCAGTTTTTGCTTTTTTTTCACCGAACCTAGATTTAGCTGCACTAGTAGTAAGCTTATGCATAGGAGGTTTTTTGTTGTTATTGTGTGTAGCTGTGGCAGCTACAAGCTGTTCGTTTAATGACGGAGATCTCAGGAGACAGGAAGAAAGACAAGAATAAAAAGAACATTCACAGTGAGTTTGTTCCACCCGGCAGTGAGAGCTTCCGAAAAAGCAGGGAATCCCTGACAACGTGAGTATACTTTGCTTAAAGGAGAGACCTCCAAGAACGGCACTAGACAGAGTGAAGCACCAAGCATTTTAAAATTGAGGACACTGTTATTGCATGCCCTACGGCGACCCATTATTATCGTAACCACATGAAGGACTAGCCGGTTGCAGAACAAAGACTGTGCTTTCGTCCTCAGTTATCAGTTAGAGGCCATAAATGTTGTCTTGCCTGGTGTAGCTCTCACTCTTTCCTGCTCAGTACCTTAGCAGTAGACCGAAGGAGCCATCCCTTTCCCAACTTTGTTTTGTCTATCAAGAAGAGGTTTAAAAAGGTTTAAAGGCTTGTTTATTGTGGAAAGTGCACTTAGCTTATTCAGCTAGTTTACAGGCACTCTACTCAAATACTTAGAAACAAATAATTCAAATGCAACATAACAAGACTAAAAAACCCAACTGGCAGGAGGCAACCATTTGGTTATTTACAAGTGTGACCGAGGATCTGAACCCGGGACCACCGAGAGCGAATCCAGTAAGTGGCCAGAGCGGGACTCGAACCCGGGACCGCCGGATTGGGAGTCCGAAGCGCTGACCACTCGGCTAGGTTGCCTCCATTAGTGTTCATGATGTTTATGATGCTATTATTCCATGAATCACACATTTTCTTTTGTTATTCAAAATCCTTTATTTAACTTACATACTTCATGAATATTTAACAAACTGAAAGTCCGGGGAGGGCTTGATAATGTAGCAGGGAAGAGCGGGGCTGATGAATTGAATAAATTGCTAATTATAAATGCAAGGGCAATATCTATATAAATACCCCGTATTTATCTGTATATTGCCCTGCTGCCCTGGGCAATATACAAATAAATCCCTTCCATTTATAATGAGCAATTAAAGCAAATCATACACGTCCTTTGACCCCGCCAAACATTCTGAGAAAATTTCTCCCTTTAACACAAATATAGAAATTTATTCTGCAACTATAGAAAATACAGTAGTATCCCATATATCATGCAGGCTATGTGTTCACACTAAGAAAATTTTAAGTCTTTGGAAAATTTCGTCGTCACTTACACGCTTCCAGGTTCTTTCTTCTTCCGAATTTCCAAAACAAACTTCCCAAGCCAGTAGTCAAGCTGCTCATTAGCGACTTTCTTAATGTCAGGATTGACTTCGTAGTATTTCTCTTTGCTGCTATTCTTTTTAACTTTTACATTGCGTTCGACGGCCCATTCCTCCCAGCAACGTACCGCCCATGAAGTATTAACTTTCGTGTTTGCCGGTATTCTGGGCTCTCTTCTCTTCTCGACTTCGTTATCACAAACAACAACGATATTACGCCCAGGATTTTCTTTCTTTTCGACTTCAACACTATCTCGTTCGCTTACTTCTCTAAAGTCTCCCACTAACTCTTCCAAATTCAACTCAGGGGAAAAAGGCTCCTGAGAGAAAGTATTTTGCGTTAGGAAAATTTCGTCGTCACTATCCATTGCCGCTCTCACAAGTGTACTGGCCCCCCAAAAAATACCAAGACAAAAATAAAAAAACACAAAAGGTTTGAAATTTGATTGTTGTCGGCTTAGCAAACAAACAATGCGCTATTGTTCTCCGTTTCTCACCTAAGTGAGAACAAGTGGTTTGAACAAATTATGACCCGTGAAACGCCCTTTCTCGATGCTGTGTGAAAACCTTTACAATACTTACAATGAAATACGTCATTGTCTGCGGTCGGATCAAAAAATGACAAACAAAGATATGTCAAAAACAAGTGGCCAATTATTGCCCTGTGAAAGACGACCTTTATGTAACCTATACCTCATGAATAATATCATGAAATAAGTTAAATAAACCCCTCGAACGTCGGTACTAATCCATATACATCCCGAGGGCCGTAGGCCCGAGGGATGTATATGGCTTAATACCTCCGTTCTCGGGCTTTATCTCTTACTTGTTGTTGAATGAGTAAATGAAAGAAGGAATCTTTATTTATATGATTGAATGTCCTTACATTTCCCAGGCTGGATCGGAAGCTGATTGCTTTGACAGAAATCTGCCGCGGAATCACATACACAGAGGCGATTCCTGTTTGGGAACACATCTTTGCTCCCCGCGAATACTTAAGCTCTCAGCTGGAGGAGTTCTTCACAAAGTGAGAGAAATTAAGATGGTGTAGAATATTCACCGATTTGCCTAGTTCAGTAATTTATTACTTTTGACAGATAACAGTAAAGTTAGTTCTCTGGTTACACGTTTTATCAAGTTATGAATGCCTCTGTAACGCCTCTGTCCTCGTAGCGTTTTTATGACAGAAATGAACCCTGGTTAACTAACTTTGTGGTTTAACTATTGTCATTGTCACTGGTGAGTCTGTGGTAAGTTAATTCATAAGACCTTCTTTGGTAGGTCTGTGGTCACTATGGTCCAGTTTGATGCTGATAACTTGAGGATTGCTCGTCCGTCCGAGGTCCTTGGAAATATTAAGGTATAGTTTTCAGTGCTTATTTTATTAGCCTAGTAAATGGCCTAGATCACTTTGAGTTTGTTAATCACTCAGTGGATAGAGCGCCCCCTAACCGGTATTCATTAGTGACCTTACGAAACCTCGTCGGCGAGTGCAACGGGAATGCCAAAAACGCAATATGTCGGTCATTTAAACGAAGCCCAACTTAGACCGCGGTTTTATAAATCTTTGGACCTCCAGATCTTTTCCTTAGTGGAGTATTTTGAGAAGATAAATGCTTTTTTAGTCTGCACTATATGCTTTTATGAAACTGTTCACTACAAATGGAGTTTAGATAAAAGCTTTAGGCAAACTGAAAATGATTTAGAACGCAGTTTTGTTAAACACTGGTTAAACTCTGTTTAAATAACTGCCCCAATAGGTTCAGAAAACATTGATATCCGGAATAATCAAGGTCTCGGTTAGTGTTATCAGCCTCAGCCTTCGGCTTCGGCTGATAACACTTACCTCGACCTTGATTATTCCGGATATCACAAAAACCTCATCCAATAATTGTTTATTACCATTACCATTACTATTACCATTTTTGGCAAAAATTTCTTTTTGACTAGAAAAAAATTAAATTGGTAAAATGACAAGCAATGACTAGAGCGTAATAGACTCTCCCTGTTTGCAAACTGAATCATACAGTATTTTGTATCTGGCCTGTAGAATATTATTGCATTTCTTACAAACCAACATTATGGACATTACGGACATGACATGGCCGCATAGTTTAACAGTTTGTTTGGAAACTGTAAGCACAAAAAGCAGCCTTCTGTACTTTTTAACTTCTTATACATGAATTAAGCCACTAGACAACTTGCTAGTGCTGTGCTTTTCTCTTTTCAGCCCCCAGTGGAATATTTATCAATGGAAACCATGCAGAAATGGATATTGTGTAAGTTTTCAAAATGCTGCTCATAAAATACACTGTAGTTAATAAAATATTAATTTTATTGTACATAAGGTATAATATCATCTAATTGAAAATAAATTGTTGCTTATTAATAATGTTAATGTTTGTTATAAATAATAAAAAAGTCTTTATGCAATACTAATAAAAAAGACCTATGTACAGTGCTTCACTTAAAAAAAATTAAAACGAAATTTGTACCTTAGTTAACATCTTTTAGAAAGAAAAGAAAAGATCATAATGTCTCAATATCTCTTGAAATATAATCCACGACAATGTTTCTCTACTAAAATTTAATATTATTACTGTTACTATTAGCAATCACTACCAATATTTACGATCTTTTCACTAATTCCTTTTTAAAATCTGATGATTTCAAGATGAACCAACAACGATAAGAGTATTAAATAGTAGTAATAATTAAATATGCGATATTCAATATTATATTTTGTTTATTATACTTATCAATATTATTGTTTATTATACATATCAATATTATTGCTTTTTATACATGTTTGAGTTGTTTTAGTTTGAATTTATCCCTTTCCTTTACCTTAAAATGTATATTACCTGTATGTAGATTGAATACTCCTTAAAATAAAATTCCCTACTGGAAAGTGCTATTTTGATCTGTAATAAATCTAAGAAGAAATGTTTGATGTTTTGAACATCATGATCAAGAAAAAAAAACATCAAGTGTCGAAGTGGTTAAGAGAGTTGTCAATTTGAATACCGTAAAATTCCGAAAATAAGCCCCGGGGCTTATATTTTTCAAAGGCCCTTTTTGAGGGGCTTATTTTTGGAGGGGCTTATCTACGGAGGGAAATTTGGGTTTCAAAATCGATTGTGCTAACTTTATATTTGGAATAAATTTACCGTTTTTGCTTTGTTTTCCTTTGTATTTGAGGGCAATTTTCCAAGTACAAGCCCCCGGGGGGCTTATATTTGGAGGGACGATTTAACGGAGAGTCTTTTGTGTTACCGGTTTTGGGGCCTTATATTTGGACGGGCTTTTACATGGAGGGGCTTTTTTTCGGAATTTTTTGGTAATTTTATTAGATGACATTCATAAGTTGATGTGCTAATAGAAATACCTCAGCATGCAAAGAAAGTCATGTCCGATAGCCCAGGGCTAGTGGATTTTGCTATCGAGTTTGTGATTTTTGTTCTTAATTTGCCCGATGGGCAATCAAAAAGGGTTCTTGGACTAACTGAAATGACTTGTGGGCTAGTACATGCTAGCTACAGCTTGCCTGAATGCTAGGCTGTAAAACTGACTTTCTTTACACCCTGTGCCTCGTGTGATTCTAGTCTGATTACACATTTAGCGATGGTTTTAAAATATACAGCATTTCATAAACAAAGCATTCAAGTTTATCATGGCACTTTTTGAGGATCAAAAAGGTATGCCATAAGAGTGATCAGCCTCGTGTTGTTTTATTTCATGTGATTTGAAATAATAAAAAGAAAACCTATAAATTGCCTTAAGCCAATTTTTTCACCCCATTTGGCATTAAATGGCCAGATTATAATAATTCCGTTATTTACCCTTGGCAGTATTTATAGCACTAATATTAGTGTGGCCGAGCAAGTGCCTGAAACAAATA